ACATCAATAATAATGTAATAAGAAAGGTCCCCCCTCTTTCCTCTTATTTAAAAGTCACAGTAATATGACAAAGAACTGTACAGAGAAACAGATATGATACTTTTCCAGAGTTCTCCATTAAGAAAAAAATGCAGCTCTTAAATACCTTGTTAAAACTCTACAAAATGTATTTTATCTCAAGACTAATGATAAGAGGACCAAGTAAGTATGTAAGAACATCTGGGAATTTAGTGTTCACTCAAGCAGTGTAAGCAGGCCTTCCCAGAATAACTGCCCGGCTAACTGGAGGTGATCTGCTACTTACCCCTCTTGCTGCCACAACATGTTAGCCAAGGAATTGATTTTATTGTATTTTATTTGTGTTAATTCTGATTTTACTTCCATTGCAGTTTAATTCAATAGGAGGGTTTAATTTAAGGGGTGGGAGGGTTAGGGTGTGGGATGATGGAATGTTTTAATTGTTGTCTTTTTAACCTTGCTATACGCTGCCCCAATTGCCGAGCAGAGGAGCAGGTTACAAATAAAAATGTATTATTATCATTTATTATAGTTTGTCTTGAGCAGTTAACTCAGAAATGAGGAAGTGGTCCTCCAGATGTTGGTGGACTGCAGCTACCAGAATTGCTCTATTGCATATGTTGGCTGAGGCCGAAGAAGCTGCAGTACAAAAACAACTAAAGAAACACAGATGCCCAGTCTTGAAGTATCTCATCATCTGAGGCTTTACAGGATAAGATGAAACCCTATTGGTTACTTAGGTCTTGAGAGAACTAGTTAACTAAAACCTTCAGTACTGCCTTGTGGATAGTTGCATTAATGGTATGTAAGAGCACCTGTTGGCAAACTCTTAGTTGCAGAGGGTAAGACTTCACATTCTGATTGCAAGGGTTCCAGTGCAGAGACTCCAGGCACTACACATTTTCTTTCCAAAGTAGGTACTTAAGGTAGCTTGATCCTTGTCTTTAGATCTTTACAAGGATCTTCTTGTATCTTCTCTGCAACTGCTCCCAGACTTTGGAATGGCCTGCCGCATGAGATCCATCTGATTACCACTCTTACTGCCTTCAAGAAAGCAGTAAAAACGGATCTCTTCTGGCAGGCCTTCCCGGAATAACTTTCAGCTGGGAGATGAGCTTTTAATAAATTGTTCCTCTGATTCTGTGCTATTGCATAATTTTAATTTTCTTAATTTTAATTATGTGGCATTTTTTAATTTGGTTAAAGTTTAATTCTATTTTAAGGGGATGAGAGGGTGGGACTATGGGATGAGGGATTGATTTTTTAACTTTGTTCTGTTTTTAAATTGTTGTACCCCGCTCCGATTGCCACGCAGAGGGGCGGGTTATAAATAAAAATTATTATTATTATTATTATTATTATTATTATTATTATTATTTACATTCAAAGAAATATTTGAAATCTGATTTTTTTCTTTGTCTTCAAATAGGTTATTGTAAATCATAGCACTTAATAAGCTGATGAAGTCCTTTTGCCTTAAGTAAAGATGAATGAGCTCATCATTCAAGCAACATCTTTCCTGTCATTTGCTTCTTTCTTGAATATATTTTGCCTTGTCACATGTCATGTAATGAAAACACAATCAATTGATACAAATTAATGTTGCTATCATATTCTAGATGATGAGGTATTATGTGCCATAAGGGATATGCACAGTTACCTATGGATTTCTTCCCTTTCCCACCATCATGGTCAATCCATGCAATTTTCCGTTGGAGCTGTTTGTTTTCCAGGATGAAAAAACTAATGAATTCAATGATTACATCCAGATTAGTGCATTGAAATATGCATCACATGGGGATATCATGGAAAAGCACCTGTTAATGGGGAAGGTTGCAGTGGTTAGACTGTGGTATGTGGGATTTTTGGATCATATAACATAAATATTGTGCCAACTTCATTCCCTCCCAGTTTCTATCAATCAGGTTTACTACAATCACAGATCAGTCACAAAAAAGACAAAAGTAGAACATATCTTCCCAGTTTGTTGCCATGATGCATTCAGTGTGCTGATTCTGATCTCTTCAATTTGGTCCCAAAACAGGTTTGACTCCTAAGAACTGCTGCTTTCCACAAACCTGCGGGTGTCACGCAAGACTTTGCACTGGCTGCCACCATCATAGGATGTAAGAGAAGTAGGGGTGTAGGATAGGACCATTTCAGTGATCACACCCAGGATGTATGATTCAACTGTTATGATAAAGACCCCTTTTGAGTCCCTGCCATGCAAAGAGCTGCTAAGTAGGACATTCACACCTAGAGGATTTATGAGTGCCAGCCAGGATGTGTCCGGCTGAGATGAGATAACATTAACATCCCAACTCCTCTTCTTGAATTTTTTTTCCTTCAAAGAGTAATAATCAGAATCCTTTGATATACAATTGGAACTCTTCACTTCAGGCTAGGTTTAAGGGTATAAATGCTCCTCAAAATCACATTGGGGTCTGGCTAGATTTCATGGTGACACTGCGCCACAGTGAACTCTGACTTGGGTCCTGGCTCTTTCCGTTGTCCTTTTCTTTTTCATAATGGTTGAGTCTATCCATCTTCATTCATCATTGGAGCAGCCTCCTTCACCATTTATCATCATTAGAAAGTCTTGTGTTTCCTATCCAACCTAGCTACTTTACTCTTGAGTTCTTTGGTGTATGATTGTTAGGGTGTCTTTGTATGTTTGAATCCCCAAATAAATTACAGTTCATTTGGAAAGCTTTGTCTCTATCAGTCTATTCCCTGGGCACCTCCGTAAACACAGGATAAATTATCCCATAGAAGACTTGGACTTTAGTAATTCCCCATTTCAAGGTCTTCATTACACAACATTCCAGAAAACTGACTATTATCTTTGCTACACACTTTCTAAAAAAACATCTCAGTGCTGACTTTTGGGAATTTGGTTTGTTCTTCTTTCTTTCTGAAAACCTGCTGGCTATTTTGTTTTATTTTTGTCCTATTGTGAGCTATAAGCTTCTCAAAGACCATAAAATAGGGCAGAAAGTGGAGGCTAAAATACATTCATTAACACACATATGCATTCTGTGGCAGGTTCTCTGGATCTAGATTGGATCACACATTGAACAAGATATCCAGGTATAGTAGATGTTATGGTAAGTGTTCCACATTTAATTGAACTGGAATGATGATCTTAATTTTAATTAGTTCAAATTGCCGCCAGGGAAATGAAAGTACATAGATCTTGTAGCACCTTTGAGACTAACTGAAAGAAATAAATTGGCAGCATGAGCTTTAGTAGACTTCGGTCTACTTCCTCAGATGCATTTGGTGGAGTGGAAGCCAGACACAGACATATATATGGCATTGGGATGTGAGGATGTAAATTCAAATTACAAATCCTTTTTATATGAAAATGAAGTTTTAATGATGGTTGTTAGTGCAAAAGGACATAGGAAACTGGTCTTTATGCATGGAGATCAACTGGCAGATCCAGTTTTGCAAAGGGACTAGCCCAGAGGTAGGCAACCTTTCCTCTTTAAGGGCCGAGGGACTTCAGCTCCCAGAAGCCTCAGCCATGTTGGCCAATAGTCCCATGTTGGCCAATAGCTCCTGGGATTCTGGGAGCTGAAGTCCCTTGGTCCTTAAAGGGGAAAGGTTGCCTACCCCTGAACTAGCCTGTAGAGAAGGGAATAGACAAATGTAGGGCACTCCCATGAGGATAGGGTCAGATAGTGTTGAAGTGTGTGTAGTGA